TCCACAGATTCCTGCAATGCATGCCCACAACAATCCTTGCCAGGGGTGGTGAGGGAGTCTGAGGGTCCTGCATTACTGCCCTTTGTGTGCCCTGGGGCTGAGAGCGGTCATGGGCTTATGTGCATAACCACTCTGCCGCTCCTGGGAGATGGCTGAGCGTTACCGTATTGTCCTTTATGGGGCCGCTTCCCTGAGAGCTGTTGCCCGGTCATGGGCACACCTGTTCCAGCCCTCCTAGGGGATGGCAGATGGTCTGAGTGTTCTAGTCCTTTTCAGGGTGCCCAGGTGGAGAGAAGTAACCCAATCAGCCCAGCTGCTGGTTATGGAGACCTGAGCTGAGAGTCCCCTCCTGGGATCCCTGACTGTAACCAGTTTCCCTGCTCCACTGCTTGGGCACTCTACCTGCTCAGGCACCCCTGTTCTATGACTCTGGAGATCCTGAGACCACACCGACCCACCTAGAATTCTGCCATTTTAATCCCCTGAGCCACTCAGACAGGGATGTCTGTCACTGGAGCAGATTTCCAAGAGTTCCAATTTTTCCCTCCAGGGCTCTATCACTTTCTGGTAGCCAGCTTATGGAGGCTCCCTCCCCGCTCCCTTTATCTTCTGATATTTCCCCTCAGATTCACGTCTCCACACCTCCTACCTTGCAAAAAGCAGTCACTTTTCTACCTGTAGAGTTCTAGATATTTTTTTCTTAAATCTCAGGCTGAATTCATGGGTGTTCAGAATGGTTTGATAGTTATGTAGCTGCATTCAAGGGACCAGATGAACCGACGTCCCCTACTTTACTGCTATCTTGCCTCTGTGATCCAGAATTATTAATTAAAAATTTTTCCTTAGGTGATTATGTATTTTTAGCTGTTAAGACAAAATCTTTTTTGTTGTTGTTGAGATGACTAAATTAAAAGGTATTCTTAAATAACTACAGTAATCCAAAAATTGGAAGATGACCAAAAAAAAATCTTTTTATTTACTTTTTTAAAAGATTTTATTTATTTACCTGACAGAGAGAGACACAGCAAGAGAGGGAACACAAGCAGGGGGAGTGGGAGAGGGAGAAGCAGGCTTCCCGTGGAGCAGGGAGCCCGATGCGGTGCTCAATCCCAGGACCCTGGGATCATGACCTGAGTTGAAGGCAGATGCCCAATGACTGAGCCACCCAAATGCTCCCCAGAAAGATTCTTGACAGCATAGAAATTAAGAAGTTCACTCCTAGATTATTCTTGAATCAAAAAGAAGATAACAAACATGGCAAATTTTTTACAAATCAATGAAATGAGGCACATCATACCTAACCCTGCAGGTTATAATAGGAGTTGTAATCAGAGACCTAATGCCTATAAGAGGAGGAAAAAATGAAGGAATTTAGAAGTTAGAAAAACAAAAAGCAAAATAACCAAACAAAGTAGGAAGAGGAAAATAGAGGTAAAAGATGTTATTTATGAATAAGAAAACAAAAATTAAAAAGAAATACTACAGAAGATAAATACTAATGTTTCTTTGGAACTGTGTGTTACCATTAAAGCTGGTAAACCCTTTAGAGTCTATTAAGAAAAATGGTGGAGTAAAAATATTGAAAATGACCAGAGAGTAGCACTTCTATATGTGTTGAATCATGAATTGATAGAGCGGGAACTGTGTGTTGGGCATTGTACTAAGCATCTTATTTTATTTAAACTTTACAAAGACCCTTTGAGACAGGCATTAATTTTATCCTCATTTTATATGTGAATAATGTGAAACTTAGAGAGATTAGCAGGAGTGAGTAATATGTGCAAGACTGCACAGCTGGAATCAAACCCAGGCATTTTAACTCCAGCATCTTCATTCCTAACCGGTGGTTGGAGATGGTGGTGCATATTTTCTTTGTTGTAGATCTAATAGGAAATCCTATTGTGGATTCTATAAACTCCCTTCCAAGAATTCTACTGTGGAGTTTAAAGTACTTTTTAGTTAAAGAAATTTTCCAGGAAAATTTCTACTGGATAGCATTAAACTTTTAAAAGTTTGTTGTTGTAAATGTATGGAAGTATGTTTTGGATAATCATCTGGAAATGTGGGGAATCTACTATCTGATGGGGATGGTGAACTTTAACTCGTTCAGTCTCAATGTTTTGTGGTTCCTCCAGTTAACAGGAGGAATTTTGTAGACATGACTTTAAATTAAAAGGTATTCTCAAACAACTCAGTAATCCAAAAACCAGAAGATGACTAAAGAATCTTGACTACATGCAAAATCTGGCCGTGGCTCTGGAGGGCTATTAACAACTGGTGGGGATTTCAATAACATGAATTCTTCAACATTGGATTTCTTCCTCTACTGAGCAGTCTTTTTAGGACTAGAGGACAGACAAAGTTTTAGTGAGAGAGAGAAAAAAAAATCCCATGGCCATGGATGAGAGTTTCAGCTAGAAAGACTTTTTCCTAAAACCACATTATTCTTTTCTTCATACTTAATATGCTCATTGCCGTGAACATACAGTTGCCAAATCTGTTCAACTGTCTGCTTTTTTTTCTTGTTAATGCAGACCATGAATATGATATCTAAACCTAATTTAACAATTTGAACCTCTATTAACACCACAAATAAAACTGGCAAACTCTCTCAGCACAACATATAAATCCTTTCAGGGGAAGATATTGTGCTTTAAATTATGCAGACACAAATTCCTAATATTTAAATAAGAACATTCTCCTTGGTTCCAGCATTTCAGAACACTTTTTGATAAAAGAGTGTTATAATGTAGAAATGAAGTAACATAATTGTGGAAGGTACATAGGATCTATTCCTTGGTCAGGTGTCGGTGACCAGCTGGCCTCAATGAAGGGAAGTATCCAAAGGAACACTGTGGAGGATGGTAAAACATTTAGAGCAAAACAGTAAAATGGATTAATCAGTTACTAACAGGATGGGAAATAGCGTGGATGTTAAGTCAGACATCTGATTAAATGATTGAGTTAACAAAAAAATATTTAAGAAACTATTCTCGAGAGAAATCTTCACTGGAACATAAACTATTTATGTCAAACCCCCATCCTGATTTTCCTTATGCACTTGAAGTGCTTAGCAAGGACTGGCACATAGTAGGTTCTCAAATATTTGCCTAAAGGAAGAAAAAATATTTACTTATGCTAGTGAGATATGTTAATGCAGAGCAAACATGTCAGAGCTGAGGCAGAAAGGATTTTCCCTATTTGTTGGTATGTGCTGAGAACTAAAGCATATAATAAAATGAGTTGGGTTTTTTTCCTCAGGACTCTGAGTGGCTCTATGGAAAGGCATAGATGTAATGGTGGGTTAGAAATTCTTTGCAACAGTAAATGAAGCCAGTAAAATTGGAAGACTAAAAGAGATTCACTTCTGAAGTATTACAGTGGACTTTGTTAACTTAATTAAATTATTTAAGTCTAATCTATCTTAAGTTTAGTGGCAAAAAGCTTCTTTTTATGACATTGTCTTGGAAATCATTTAGACCACCACGACACATTAGGTTATGGAAGTATTTTTTTGAGCCTGAGGAAATTTTAAATCTAGGTTCTTTTTAGTGGAATATAGACTTTTTTTAAGGGCAAGTAAATATTCCTCTTAATTTTCTTGCAATATGCAAAAATCAAATCACCTGGTCATTAATCATTAGAGATTCACTTCACTTATAACCCTAAAGTTGTGCCATGGAAAAAGAATGGGTTGTGTGTGTGGGGGGAGGACTAGAGTTTTAGAATCCTAAATGTCACATTGCAGATGATTATTAATTCAAAATATTTTTAGCTGAGTTCTCCATAATCAGAGCTCATCAGACTATTGACTGTATTCAAGAGCTAAGTAATTAAAAGGAAGAAGTCGACATCACGAGTTAAATTTACCTAAAATCCATGATCATTTTGGCCCAAGTTACTAGCTTTTGTGACTTCCTGGGATGTAACTTTTGGATCCCAAGTCATGTATTTATTGACTTGCTAGACCTTTTCAAGTAAATGTATTTTCTAACAAACTTCAGATATAGATAGGGTCAGTTTCAGGTGATACTATTGGAATATTTTGTCTTTGAAATGAAATCTTAGCCAAAAAAATAGTAATTCAACATTTAACTTATTTGATCCTAAAAATAAAATTTCTTTTTTTTCTTTTTTTTTTAAAGATTTTATTTATTTATTTGAGAGACAGAGAGAGAATGAGAGCCAGAGAGCATGAGAGGGAAGAGCGTCAGAGGGAGAAGCAGACTCCCTGCTGAGCAGGGAGCCCGATGCGGGACTCGATCCCGGGACTCCAGGATCATGACCTGAGCCAAAGGCAGTTGCTTAACCAACTGAGCCACCCAGGCGCCCTAAAAATAAAATTTCAATGAATGATTTTAAGGTTTTAAACAGGAAACATTGTTTTACACATTTACAATTTACAATTTAAAGCACAATGGAAGGGATTGGAATAAAGTGCCAGTGGACAAAATCCACATTTAATAAATTGCTTAAAGTTGTACTGTTGATGTTGGCATCTGCATAGTTTGCTTTCAGTGACTATAATCTTTTCAGAGGGTCCAATGGGTGGGTTTTAACTTTAACTTTACTAAAGATAGCTTGGAGAAATTAATCCAGAGGAATTGTGCTTTTTAGCCCCTTCACACAAAATCCAAGAATCTTTGCTCTCACCCATTTACCTATTTAAAAGAGTTTGCTTAATGAAGGGCTATACCAGGACTATCACTAGCTAGATCTGAAGGCCAGTTAAGGCTTGGTGAAAGGAAAATCTTTTTACCAAAATCAATATACAATTAGCTTGGGGTCTGTTTGATCTATGTCAGGTAAAAAACTAGGTTTATTGATTATTTTTTCTTTAATTTGTTATTTAAATGTCTCTTTTGAGATAAGGAAAGTTATGTATGCTTACTGTGTTCATTGAAAAATGAAGCAGCGATGGATGGAGAGGTTATTTTTTCCACTCTCCTCCTTTCCCACCTTAGTGTTAATGGCAGCAGGTGTATCATTCTACAACTGCTTTTTTTTTTGAAATGGATCAGTTATTTAATTACGTTCTTTGTAAGAAATTTAGAACACCAATTTGTGAGGGTAAACTCCATTTGTGAGAGAAAACACAGAGCGGAGGTAGCCCTGAAGCTGAGGAACAGCTTTGATTTTTGGCAGAATTTGCGAGTCCACAGCTTTCTGATCAACCTTGCGCTGCTCTGTAATCTCGTATTTCTCTTTCTCACTGTCGAAGATCTCACCCTCCTGGCGTCTGGGCTTACGCAGCTTCTTCTTGAAGCAAGCATCAGTGAGATGTTTGGGGATTTTCACACTGCTGATATCAATTTTGGTAGAAGTAGCAATGATGAGTTTCTGGTGTGTTCTACTCAGAGGAACTCGATTGAGGGACAGAGGTCCGGTCCCAAGTAGCAAGCCACTGCTCAGTTGCTTCAGGAAAACGACCCTCTTGCCTCTGTGGCGCCCAGTGAGGATGATCAAAATGGCCCCGGGGGGTGATACTAGCTCGCGGCTTTCTCACGTGCTGACTGAAAGGTTTTTTGCCGTGGCTCAACAGCTTTCGAGGCACATCTTCAGTAGGGTAATACCTAGGCATTTTGCGAAGTTTAACCACTCGGGTACCACCGTTCTTGTCACCACCAGCTGGTTTTGTGACAGTAGCAAGAGCTTTCTCCTTCTTTTTCTTTTCAACCCTGGACTTAGCTGCCGAATACTTCCTCTTGTACATGGCCTTTCTGGAATACATAGCCGATCGGGAATATCTGCCAATTCCTCCGACAAGTACAGGGTTTCGGCCGCAGTGGGGCTTCCCCTTCTTTGGCGTTTTAGCCTTGGGGTTACCCTTCTTAGCCTTGCCACCAGCATCCGCCTTCTTAGCTTCAGGTTTCTTCTCCTTAGTATCCGGCTTCTCAGCTTTTTCGCCCGCCATCTTGCAAGATGGGAAAGAGCCAACTTCTGCTTTTTTATACAAAAATATGAGTACATGTCAAAAATGTGTGCTTTATCAATGTTTGTTTCTATAAAAATGCATCACATCAGATATATTACTCTGAAATTTAATATATTCATTTAACAATATGAATGGCTTTCTTAAGACAATTGATATAGATCTAACCATGTATCAGAACCGCCCGGATGACTTGTTAACTTGTTAAGACACATTACTGAGCCCCATTCTCAGAGAGTCCCATACGGTAGGTCTGGGGTGGGTCCAAAGAATATGCATATCTAGCAAGTTCCTTGGTGATGACAAGGCTGCTGGTCAAAGGGCTAGATTTTGAGAGTCACTGGTCTAATCTATTCTTTTTGATAGGTGTAGATTCTTACACAGAGTGGAAGTATTGTGATTTATCCAACCATTTCCCCAGCTGGCGACCCTTTATTTTTTCTTATTTTGCCACAATAAAATACTGTTGCAATAGACATCTTTGTTCATATAACACAAGGATTTTTTATTTCTATAGGATAGATTCCCAAATTGACATTAGTGGGTTAAAGGTGATAAGCATTTACAGTTTTAACAGCTATTGCATAATTACTTTCCAAAAGGGGTCATTGCAATTCACTAATTATTACATATCAGAGATTATATATCCATATCCTCATCAGCACTGTATTCTTACTGCGTTATTGTTTCTATATGACTTGAGTGAAAAAATGACATCTTGTGTTTTTTTCAAATTTTTATTTAAATTCTAGTTAGTTAATATATAGCATAATATTGTTTTCAGGAGTAGAATTTAATGACTCATCACTTAACATATAACACCCAGAGCTCATTGTAGCAAGCGCTGTTGTTTTAACTTGCATTCCCCTAAGTCCTAAGAGGTTAAGAGAATTCTTGTATATTTATTAACCACTAGGATTTCATCTTTGTCCATTGTTCCTTTAGTTACTTTTCTTTTTCTTAATTGTTTCTGGAGATCTTTTTATGTAATGAATATTAACCCTTTTTATGACATAAGCATTGAAAATATTTCCCTCGGTCTCTCATTTCACTTTTAACCCTATTTATGACATACTTGGCATGAAAAATCCTTAATTTTCATGGAATGAAATATTACATAGGGCTTCTAATTCTTCTGTCTTGCTTAAGAGAATCTTGTATAATGCATGGTTACACAGATATTCTTCTTAAGTTTCTTATAATGTTTTAACTATTTTATATTTTTCATCTAAATCATATTACATCTGGAATCAATTTTAAAATATGTGAAATTGGGGTATGGTAGGGCAGCCTTCTCCCACTTCAGGAACTGGGGGCACTTTTATCTTCTGTATAATTCTTTTTAGGCTTTCCAGGTCAGTAGGACCACATGCAGCAAGTAAACAGGTGCAGTCTTTATGGAAGAGGAGCCCAGGCACCTGCTTACTGATTTCCCTCAGAACCAAAAAACCTGAATCATCATCAAGAGGCCCCAAACATAGGTATGCCCTATCCCCTGGGTATAGCCTCTTAGCTTAGGACAGACACCAAAGAGAATAGTTTCTAGTTGATACCTGGTCCTGAAAGGCACCTTAGAAGTGTCCTATATCCTGCACACCTTGCCTCCCATTCAAGTATGGTATTACTTAGAAAGGGTATTTGAAGTAAATCAGGAGTCTGTGTTCAAGCTGCCCTAACTCAGAATACAAACATTATACAATCAATGCAAGTTTATATACTCACTGGGGACAATTTAATAAATAGAGAGTTGCAAAAAGAAGGCAGGAAATATCATCCATGTTTCAGCCACCCAGAGACAAACACTTCTAGCCTCTTACTGTAGATCTTTTCAGATTATATAGATAAATGACAAGTAAATACATGAATTTAAAAATATTACTCTGTGCTGTTTTTACTCTTCTCCCCTACTTTTTGGACATTTGGTTTGCTTCCAATTCTTTGATGTCCTATACACATTGCGATAAACATCACTTTAGTCACATTTTTTTTGTGAAGATTTACCATTATTTCTTTAGTGTAAATTCCTAGAATGGTAGTTGCCTGATCAAGGTGTGTATTCATATTTAAAATGTTTCCAAATTGCCTTCCAGGAAAATCCTAAAGTTTATACTCCTCCCAGCTACACATAAGAGTGCCCATCAGGGGGCGCCTGGGTGGCTCAGTTGGTTAAGCGACTGCCTTGGGCTCAGGTCAGGATCCTGGAGTCCCGGGATCCAGTCCCGCATCTGCCGGCATCGACCCGCGTCGGGCTCCCTGCTCAGCGGGGAGTCTTCTTCTCCCTCTGACCCTCCCCCCTCTCATGTACTCTCTCCCTCTCTCTCATTCTTGTTCTCTCAAATAAATAAATAAATAAATAAATAAATAAATAAATAAATAAATCTTAAAAAAAAAAGAATGCCCATCAGTTCATAATTCTGCAGAAAAAAAAGGTTGTGTGACTAAGTACAAAGTTTCTCCTTAAAGACCACTTATTCCTTCTATGGTAGATATTTTATTTTTATTATTTGGATGCTCAGGATTGATTTTTCTTTTTATGGGTAAAGAAGTATTTTAGTTCCCTGCTCTTAGGAGTATGTTTCACATTGGAGTGCACTACTTCTCCCTGCTCCAGGACTGGACTCATGTGAACACATCAATATATATTATATTCTCATCCTCTAAGGCGGAGCAAGCTAGGTTTGTATCAATTTTGGAAAGTTACTACAATGAGAGAAAAGTTTTCTTTCTCAGTACTCCCTGGTGTTTCATCTGTCTGTCTTTCCCTAGGATTTTGAAAACAACAAAGAAAATGAGAGCAGAGAAAAGGAGGGACAAATGGGACATGGGAGAGAAAGACATGGACAGGAGGGGCAAGATACATCTAGCTGTGCCTGAAGCAAAAAGTACTGCTAGGGTTTTTACTAACATGAGCCAATCACTTCTCTTGGTGAGTGTATCTTCCTTTTACTCCTTTTAAAAGGCACTGATCCAGCTATTTGTTGTCTATTTTATAATCATTAGTCAATCATCTGGAATGTATTTTGAAACTTTAAAACTAAAAAATAATTCTTTGTTTTTTACAGATTACAGATACTGTGAAAGCAAATAAACACGTTTGTAATTTTCTTAGCGTTTACTCTTACGAACAGGTTCATGCAGGTAAGTCATTCATCTCCTTGATAAAGTAGAGAACAGAGATACGAAAAGACTTTTGTTCCCATCCCTTCCCCATCTTTGAGCTTTGGCTATTGTACTAGCAATCTCATGTTGACAAATGATTTGGGTTCCCTGGTCACCTCATTAATCACATTAATGATGTCAGACACCAAAAAAAAAGTAGAGAAATCACTTGCCTTATCATCTAATGTCTTTTCTTTTTTTTTTTTTTTTAAAGATTTATTTATTTGAGAGAGTGAGAATGAGAGAGAGAGAATACATGAGAGGGGGGAGGGTAAGAGGGAGAAGCAGGCTCCCCGCCGAGCAGGGAGCCCGATGCGGGACTCGATCCCGGAACTCCGGGATCATGACCTGAGCCGAAGGCAGTTGCTTAACCAACTGAGCCACCCAGGTGCCCCCATCTAATGTCTTTTCATTAGGGATCCAGTGAAGGGATTTTAAAGACATTGACATTGACAGCTAATAGGCAGATAATAACTCTGCTGAAAGCAAGAATGAAGAAGCCAGATTCTGAGCAAGCTGGCAGTAACCTGGTGGGACCTCAAATGAGAAGATGTTGGAATCTTTTAAAATTCAACTTATTTTTTGCTTGGATGGAATTGCTTTAATTCAGGGGTAGTGAGAGCAGGCAGAGGTTGGGGAGGAGACTGGGTTTCAATCATTTATCAATGTTTTATTTTTCAGGGGAGCTCCTTAGCAGGCTGGAGGACAAGATTATTGTTTGAAAAGATAACCATTAACTCTGGGATAATATCTATTTGCATAGCTTATTCCTAGGCTTGATAGGACTCCTAAATTTATTATGGGAGCTAATATGAAAAGGGGATCACAGTTATTATTGTAGGAATGACCAATGGTCACATCCTGGGATAAGATTAATAGCTTAATGTTAAAGAGAAGTTGACAACCCTGCTGCAACACAGAACATCTCTGATGAATTCCAACAAGAAATGTGAACTTTGGGTCAGTGCAGCATGAGGCCGATAAGGTACAGACTTGGTTTAATTTGATTAGAGATGGATGAGTACAGAAATGCTGAAACATTACCTCAGTGTAGCATTAAGTGAAGTGCGGGGAGCCCATTCTCAACAAAGGTATACAGCTCCCACTGAAATATGTAAAAAATGTACTGCATGTGCTTTTGATTTTATTCACCTATGTGGATAGCAAGCAACAACACATGAAAGGCACTGGAGTTATTTTAACCATTTTCTAATTACAGTTGACCCTTGAACTACAGGGGTTTGAACTATGCAGGTCTGCTTACATGTGGATTTTTTTTTTTTTAATACATACAGTACTATAAAGGCATTTTCTCTTCCTCATGATTTTCTTAGTATTTTTTTAAGCTTACTTTGTTATAAGATTACAGTATGTAGTACATATAACATACAAAATATGTGCTAATTGATTACGTTATTGGTAAAGCTTCCAGTCAACAATAGGCTATTAGTTAAGTTCTGGGGAATCAGAACTCATATGTGGATTTTCAGTGTGTGGGAGAGGGGGGTGCTTGCGGCCCTAACCCCAGTGTTGCTCAAGGGTCATCTGTGTAGTGATTGGCGTTTGGTTAAATTGTGTTTTGTGTCCTATTCTATGGAAGTGTAGTGTTCACGATATGTCAAGTATTGTAGTAAGCACCTACCAGGACTGAAGAAACAAAATCTTTAATTTTTCTTCCTTGGAAAGCCACTGTTCTCTTAGTTCACTCATCCCTTAACAAATATTCTAGATATTCTTATAGAAAATAAGAATCTAATAATAAATGTGATATATAGGTTCCTGTCCCCATAGAACATATATTCTTGTAGGGATAAAAAGACAATAAATATATTAGATTTTTAGACAG